AAGTTCCACAAGTTCATGAAGAAGGAATTTGAGCGGAAGGGAAGGAAGCACGACGGTCCTCCCAAATGCTACGGCTGTGGCGAGATTGGCCACATCAAGCCAAGGTGTCCAAAGGCCAAACACGGCAAGGACAAGCCTGGCTTCAAGAAGCAAAGGGCCTACATCTCTTGGGGTGGCGATTCCGGCGACAAATCAACCGACCAAGAGGAGGACGAAGCTGCAAACCTCTGCCTCATGGCGCACGAAGATCAAAGCGACGATGTCCAAGAGGTATGTAACATTTCTTCCGACTCTTATACTTTTGAAGAAATGCAAGAAGCACTTCATGAACTTTATGAGGAATTTGTTAGCGCTTCTAAAACAAATAAATCTTTGAAGAAACGACTTTCTTTACTTGAAAACGATTTTGAAAAATTGGAAAAAGAAAATGAAATACTTAAACAAGAAAACAATTATTTTGGAAAAAGAAGCACTGACAAACCAGAAAGCTCATCAAGTGAATGTGGGTCTTGTAAAGCTTTAAAAGAGCAAGTTGCTAAACTTGAGAGCACGGTCAAGAAATTTAATACTCCTCATAAAGACTTAAATTTACTTCTTGACACTATGCATTTTTCTAAGGAAGGAATAGTCTTTGATAAAAATAAAGCTAAAGATAATGTTGAGCCACCACCTAGACAATCATCTAAGGTTCAACATAAGAAACCTAAAAATCAAGATAATAGAAAACCTAGTCAACCTAAGGACACTAGACAACCTAGCCGTGGTTTTTAACTAAATGACGTGGTTTTTAAGATGTTTTACTTGATTTCTTAGCAAAATGCAATAAACAAATGTTTTCTAAACTTGGTTTTTACTTTGGAGAACTTGCGTTTTTGACATCGGCTAACGGCGTGACTAAACCAACCATGGGTCTGGCTAAACTAGCCCAACAGCGATGTTGAGGTAATCAACAGCGCCTGTCTGGCCTGGGTAGCTGAAAACATGGTTTGGCGTTAAGTCTTCCAACAGCGATGTTGAACACTATACATCGCTGTTGAGCCAAGGTTGGATTTCCAGAATCTTCTGGAACAGCGATGTAGGCTTCCCTACAGCGCTGTCCAACCTAAGCCAAAAATACAGTGCATTGGCAGAAAGTTTTTGGACAGCGATGTTGACCAGCAACAGCGCTGTCAGGCCAAAACTTCCATCTTCAAAGGCAGACCTAAACAGCGATGTTCTAGTATGGAACATCAATGTAGAGACCTGACCGTTGGAAGGAATTTAAGGCTAAAACTTTCCTTGTTTGGAAGTTAACATCCAAAACAGCGATGTAGGGATTTTGGACATCGCTGTTGGCATGACCGTTGCTTCCCATTTTTTTATAACGTAAGCCTAGAACAGCGATGTCCAAATCTAGGACAGCGCTGTCTAGGTGAATTTTAGCAGATCCAAATTTTATCAAATCCCACAAATTGTGCAAATCACCCCTTAAATACTTTGGTCCGTTGGAGCCTATTTTTCTACTATAAAAAGGGGTGTTTGGGTCTGTTTTACACATCACATTACTTCACAACTCCTACTCTTTCATTGCAAATCATTCTTCAATTTTTCATAGCTTTTGAGAGCCATTTTTGTGAAGCTTGTGTTGTGTTCTTGAGCGTTCTTAGTTTACTCATTATCCACTCTAAAAGAGAGTATTGTTCTTGAGTGTTTTTAGTGTTCTTAGACACTTGACAAGAGAAGGTATTTCTCTTGTTATTCGAAGGAAGGGCTGTTTCCTTCGAAGGTTCGTTGAGGTTCGTGTGACTCGAATTCTCAAGTTGTACGGGTTTGTTAAACACCGTTAAGCTTAACGAGATAGTAGTGTAGCTGGAGAGAGTCTCTCGGGAGGCTGGATTAGCCACAAGTTGTGGTGAACCAGGGTAAAATCGGTGTGCCTCTTTACTTCTCGTTTATTCATTTTTTTATTCCTGCGATTTCTTGATCAAACGCTATTCACCCCCCCTCTAGCGTTGGTCTATTATTCTAACATATATATATATATATATATATATATATATATATATATATTTATTTATTTATTTATTTATTTATATAAACAAATTTTATTGAGTGGAAAAGAAAAGTACAATGAAAAGTAGAAAGAAGAAGGGTGGCCAAACCCGAACAAAGCCCAAATCTTGAAGAAATGTGGATCTAACCCCTAATGGGCCATCCAAATAAAGATTACAAAAGAAGAATAAATTTACAGAAAATCTATATAATCATAATCTTCTCCAAAGTGGTCATGTAATTCAGAGATTTTAGCTTTGAGAGCTATGTGAGCCTCCGCTGCCCGAGCCTTTTTTATTTTCGTCTTCGGCTTTTTTTTCTGATTTTTGGTAAGTTTTGGCTTGGGGCTTTGAGGTACCAGGGCAGGTGCACATGTCTTCTTAGTTTGAATGGCTGGACAGCTTCTTTTGAAGGCAGAACGAATACCGTCAAAGAAGGACTCTTCATCATCTTCCGAGGTGTCAACTCCCCTAATGGGAGTTTTTTTCCTTCCTTCAGCTAGTTGCCTAGCCCTGCTCCTGGTGACCATATGTGACGGTGAAGAAGTTGGCTTTCCTTTGGGTAATTTCGGGAACGACATTGAGACTATGGAGCTGCGGGGGATGCTAAATCTACAAGGTTCAAGCTTTGAGTCATTCAAAGCTGTTGACTCACCTTCAGAGTGAGTATAAAGAGCCGGTTCTCCACCATATGGGGCCACATCCTCGAGGGCATTAAGCTTCAGCAACCTAGAGGTAGAAAAGCAATTAAATAAGTCAATATTGTCTCTATCTCCATTTAAAAGTTGGCTTTCCACTAGCAGTTCCTCACTGTCTTGGCATGTCTCCAGAATCTGGAATGAGTTAAAAGAGGAGGGGATGAAAGGAGGGGCTGTTGGGGAAAGCGGTTGAAGTGTGCGGGGAGGTTCAGATTGAGTTCCTCTTACCCTAGAGGCCGGGAATTCTGGAGCTATATGTGTTAGTGCTTTCCCAGCTGAAAGTGATCCCTCTTTGGCCGTAAAGGGAGTGTCAGTGTTAGCATTGTAAAGATCAGCATGTGAGAGAAGCCCAATGTCCATTGCAAGCAAACTTTTTGAGCAAGTGTCTCGGTCAAAAAACATAGGGTCATAACGACATAGCCCCGGGAGTTCACCATCGAAAGGTTTAGGAAGATTGGGGGTTTCACTTTCCCAACAGAGCAAGGAAGTGGTTAAAGAGATATCAAGGTTGTATGGCTTGTGAACACTAGGGAGCCATTCTACCCGACTGATTGCGTAATCCCTGGATTCTGTAGACAGGTTTTCGCAGGTGTTCTGCTGGGTTGCAAACTGGAAAGTCCTTGGAGTGACATTGGATTTCTGTTAGTCTGTTGTGTTGATGTTCTGGTGCAGGTGTATTGGAGATCGGATGTTCTCTTCATTCCTAGTTGGAAGGTCCTTGGATGGCTTGGTACTAATGTTCTGCTTCTCCAAGCTGCTGCTACAGAAATATTGAAGGTTGGAGATGAATTTCCTTAACAAAAGGTTGTTCTTACCTGTTGGCAGGGAGACTGACCGAGTGCCCTCCATTCTGGATTCTGAGAAACTTATGAAATCAGATTCCCTACCCACTTTCAAAGTCCTCTTCTCAGTATTTCTTGAGAAAACCCAACATGGTTCAAAAGAGATTTTTAAGAGGCATTCCACTAACCAACTAAGTAAATCAGAGTCAAGCCAAATAATGCAACTTCTCTTTCCTTCAACAGAGACACAGTAAGTTTGATTGTAAAATGAGTGGAAAAGAGTAAAGGTGTCATGACCTAGGGTGAGAGACGCCTGAAGATTGGCCGTCTGCTGAGTATTCTTACGGTATTCCAGAAGGTTTCCGTGGATGAAGTCTGAAGGTCTAAAGGTACCGTCAAATCTATGATTGGCGCTTGTGATTTGTTCACCAATACGTTCATATGGTTCCCGAATTGGGCTCCTCCTACATTGAATTGAGCGCTGATCCGAGCTTCTACGCCGATAGACATCTCTGTTAGGCAACGAATTCTTACCTCCGTTAGACGATGAACCTGGATCGAAGGGGTGTGTCAGGTAGCGGCTTGGTACATTCGGGTAAAGATCAGGGGAGGCTCTGCGAAATCCATCTGAGATTCTTTGAAGTGAAGCTTGTCGTTGAGAGGGAGCCAATCGGAAGGAGTAACGATTCGGTCGGCGGCGATAGTCGCCTCTCGCCCCTTTCTCTCTGCAAAAATCCATCCATATATATATATATATATATATATATATATATATATCATCGGGAAATGGTTAGGTCTAGAGAGTGGGGGGAGCTAGGCGATTCTCGCCGCCGTCCCCAAGACCCCATCTCGGAATTCCGGCAACCAATACATTGCCACTACAGATATACAAACACATTTAGAGATAGGGGGAAGAGAGGCGAGTCAATTCGCCGACCCCAAGCCCGATTTCTGGAGCTTTATAAACACCAATCCTACAGATTACGAAGGAGGTATAGAGAAAGGGGGGATAGAGATGACTCTCGAGGTCGTCCCCAAGAAGGTGTTTCTAAGCTCCGGGAACCATTGGAACGCCATTTCTGCAGAGATGAAAGAAGGTATGATAGAGATTCTTCTCTGTGCAGTGATGGTAGAGGAAACCGTGACCATCAAAGTTGTTTCAATCTAAGAGGTTCCAATCTTAGATGGAGTTCTCCTAAGGCTCTCAATCGGAGACCTTACAATTATTCTCCAGATGGACGGAAATCAACCACCATAGAACAGAGGGTTTCTGAAGTTGGATACGGAGCTTTGCAATTCAGTCACCCCCCTTGGCAGACTAGAAACTTGCACGCTCATTTCCTGCTTGGTAATGTTACCTATACTCTTTTTCACTCTCATCACAATCAAACCTTCTGCCTGGCAGTAGAGGGCAAAAGCAATAGTATAATTTGGTTCAACTATGATCTATTCAGTTGGGTTTTGGAATGCTTATTGAAAATTTACTCTGAGCCAAGTTGGGTGTTTAGTAAATATACTGGTAACAGGGATATGGTTGTGGCTGTTAACAAGGAAGCAAATGAGAATCAAGTAGTCATTTTCGAAAAAAGAGTTGAAGGCAGCAGAAAGGTCTCTGTTCCAGTAGGGAACCAATTCAAGGTGATTAAAAACTTTGTCAAAAATCTCCAACTCTTCTATCGTAAAGCTAGGTAGAAATCAAAATTGGATACACAAACTGGAATGGCTTCGGATTTTAGGGTCCAACCACATTCTGGGAAATCAGGCAACTGTGGAGATTGGTATCCAATCGAAGAACAAACTCAACAAGTTGTTTCAATCTCTAAATCCTTACTGTGCTGGGAAAGTGAATCTCCCCTAACCTCCAATTTCTTTGAAGGGGACTTGGAACAATTGAGCAATGAGAGAGGGGTATGGCAGGAACACTCTTGCTCCAAATTATTGTTTGCCATGGACATTTCAGTTTTTGAATGTCAAACAAACAGTAAGGAAGATACTCCATTCTTTTTGGTTGGGAAGGAAGCTTCAGGGGCAGATTCTAGAGCTTTAGGTCCTAAACTTTTAACAGCCAGACCTCGGAATGAGGTGCTCATCGGTTCCCCTTCGAAGCTATCTCCAGAGGCCCCTTCGTTTATCCCCATTTCCTATAACCCGTTTGGGGTACTAGATTCCAATGAGGACGTCAACCTTAAAGAACCTTTGGAGACACATGCCAACAACTTTGGTGAATCCATAGAGAAGTTTAACTGCTCATCTACTCAGCGGGTGTTGAAACTTAATGCGCTTGAGGATGCGCCCCCGGTAAATGATGAACCGGCCCTCTACACCCACTCGGAAGGGGAAACAACGGTGTTTATTGATTCCATTCTTCAACCCATTAGGATAAACACCTCTAGATGCTCTAAGGTGTCAATGCAGCTCCCTAAATTAAACAAGGGTAAGTCAACCTTTTCACCATCTCACATGGTTACTAGAAGTAGGGCTAAGTTAATATCTGCAGGAAGGAAAGAACACCCCATTAAGGGAGTAGACACATCTGAGGATGAGTTTACCGTGGAGGGCATTCGCTCTGCTTTCAAGGAAAGCTGCCCAACAATCAAAGAGAGGAAAATTCAACTTAAAGCTCCCCCTTTGGAACCACATACAAAGCTTAGCAAAAAACAGAAAAGGAAGGCTAAGCTAAAACTCAAACAAGCCCAAGCTATGGAGATGACAAACTTAGCACTTGATGCTAAATACACATTGGATAAGACTGATTTTGAGGATGAATATGATTTCTCAAATTAATTGTTGCTCTTGTATATGTTTTTTTATATCTATTTTGGTCCTTTAGGGGCACGAACTTAGCTATTATAGCTTCTCGTTTTTCTTTTTAGCTTTGGTGGGCTTGTTGGGGATTTAGCCCCCCCCTCCTATTGTACTATTTTCTTTATCTAATAAAATCTTCTTTCTTTAATATATATATATATATATATATATACATATATATATACATACATACATATATATATATATATATATATATATATATATATATATATATATATATATATATATATATATATATATATATATATGAGTAAGAGAGTTAGGTATCCTTTAATTTTATGCACTTTTTCCATCCAAAAGAGTTGTACATTATGCTTTGGATGTTGTACACTATTTTTTATTTCCAATTTTGCCATTACACCGTTAGTAGGATGTTTCTTTGAGTATTCATGTCACATTTATACTTGCAAATTGCTATTAATTACTTTATAAGAGATATTGAACAACATTCTTTAGGTAATTTTAATTTAGTTCATCAATTTTTGAATGCAATACCTTTCAATCCAAAAATTCCATTATGATTGAACAAAATTATCAATAATTTTATAAATTAATTTGGGATGTGGAGTCTTTATTTGTCAAATGATTAAAAAATGATTTAAAATGACATTTATTTACCATGTGTCAATTCTCATAATTTTTTGGTTTTACAATTTAGTTTTTAAAATAATTTTATAGGAATCATTTAAGTTGATTTTGAAAAACAAATTGCGTTTTTTGGATTACACAAATTCTTGGTTGATTGTGTCCATTATTGGAAATAAAAAAGGTTTTTTAAATAATAATATGTAATTAAGACTCAAAAACTAGGCTGTAGAGAGTTTTTATTTGTCCCTAAAAGAATGAGTTTACAATAAATTAAGACGTAAAAAGTTTTTATTTACGCCAAAGTCTTTCATAAGAATGAAACGATTTTATTTAGCGATAAGTATTTTCATTTATGTTGTTTTCTACTCTCTCCGTCCCAATTTAAATCACTCGTTTTGATTTTTGGGCATATTTAAGGAAAATAAAAAATAGAGTTGATTTTCCAAAATTGTCATTGCTTTTTAGATAAGGTGATGATGAATGAGAAGATAATGTGAAGAAGATTGACTTATTTTAGGGGTAGTTTAGGTATTTTATTTTTAAAAGTTTACGAAAACAACTAATAGACAACTTATTTTGGGACGGAGGAAAAAAGTAAATAAGCAATTTAAAATGGGACGAATGGAGTAAAAAAATATAGTTTTTTTCGATTACCATAATTTTTTGTTGTTTGTTCACTACTCTTAGTAAATAAGGCTTCTTTTAATAAAATTATAGGTACAACTCAAAAATTGGAACGTAGGGAGTAAAATTTGTCCATTAAAAATTAAATTTATAAATCAAATTAGGACGTAGCTAGGTAATTTTATTTTTTTATATGAAAGATGAAAACCTTTCAAAATAACTTGTATTTATCTCGTGCTCAGTTCTTAAAATTTCTAGGTTCTTTAATGTTACATGAGAATTCAATTTTATCGTTTAGGGAGAAATGTTTTCACAAAAATCATTTAAATTCATTTGTTAATAAATTTGCTGAACAAAATATTCATTCATTTACAAATTAATTTGGGACGTAGGAAGTCTTTACATGTGTTCAATTCTCATGACTTTTTGGAATTTAAATAAACACTATAGTTTTTTAAATAATTTCATAAGAATAAAACCTTTTCATTTAGGAAGAAGTGTTTTCATTTAAGTTGTTTTTGAAATTATTTAGTGTTGTTTGGGTTGTTTGAAATATTGATTGATTGTTTCCATTATTAAAAATAATTAAGTTTTTTTAAAAAATAATATGTACGACTAAAAACTTGGGATGTAGAGAGTTTTTTCTAGAAGAATGAGTATACTAATCAAATTGGGACATATGAAGCTTTTATTTAGGCAGAAGTGTTTCATAATGAATGAAATGATTTCATTAAGTGAAGATTGTTGTCATTTAAGTTCCTTTTAATTAGTCTCTTTTGGGTTACCATAAATCTAGATTGTTTTTATCTATTTCTCGTAGAAGAGATATTTTTTAAATAAAAATTATATGTACGAGTCAATAAATCCTATGATTTATTTTACACACTTTAAATAAATAATGATTTGGATCAAAGCATGTTTCCATATGTTAGTATAACATTTTTTTAAATGTAGTGATAACAACAACAAAAATAATTAGGCATATCAAGACAAAAAGGTTGAATGGACATGCGAAGTGAAAGTTGTTGAAAAGCACATCATTAGATACACAAGGTTCAGTCCGAATAAGTATAGGCATTATGTGTTGTTGGATCAAAAAATCTTTAAAAATCGTAAATGAATTATTTTATAATCTCACAATCATAGAGGGGCATAGACTGTTAATTATGTTTATTTAATGTATTACTTTTTAACATTGGGAAACTAAGGTTCTCGCGATAGAAATAGTGGAGGAATGAGTGCTCTTTGAATGTCATATGATAAACAAACAATAACTAATCATGCTTTTCTATAAGTATTTCTATTGCATAAAAAATTAAATTGATTTATAATGACAAAGCAAAGTAAAACTTCAAAAATTCATTATTAGAGACATAATTTATTTATAATGAGTGGGATTAAAAATATAGACCATAAAAATAAATAATTCACATGTAATTTTGTTTTTCATTGTATAAATTCTTGTCTTAACAACTCACTGTATTATTAAACATTGCATTTTTTGTATCATCAAGTCATACTTGGTAGTATCAATTTAAAAACTCCACTTGTGGTCTTCAAGCATTATGCTCATGGTTCATCAATGATTATTTTAAAACTTTTAATCTTCCACAAAACAGTTGAATACGCTACTTCATTGTTGGAATTAGAAAAAGATGTAAAATTTGAGACTATACTATATATGCTCACATTATTCACTATAATACTCTAATTTTATACAATGTCTTCTTAATATTCATGGGTATACAATTCAAACTAAAAAAACTCATCATGCTGACATGGACATGAGGACATCGGATATGTATGAAATCTGATATCAAAATCCACACATCCAAAAATCATGTTGTTAGGCTCTTTTATAGTCTTTAAATTCCCTTACATTTACTAATCTTTGGGTCACCATTAGTGAGAATTTGGTTTAATTTAAGATCAAGAAAGAACGTTGACCATCCTAGAGGTTAGAGTGCTATTCTTGTGTTATTTTAGGTCCATCGGGTTAATTGTTAGAATCGGGCTAGACGACCCAAAGTGAAAATAACCAACCCGGCCCATTAGTTTAGTACAAAAACTCAGGGCGTTGGTGAGAGAGACTAGTGACGTGAGAGGAGAAAGGAACGAGAGAGAGGGAAGGTGAGATCGAAGAGTTAACCGGGAGAGAAATTCGGCTACCAGGCATAATCCGGCGAGCTAGACCTCGCGATCATCATCATTCATCGCACAATCACCAAGCGCTCCTCCCGATCAAGCGCTGTAACCGAACAGAGGAGTCATCACGTTCGTAGGATTTGATCCTCGAACGCTGTCCATAGGTACTTCGTTGTTTTTGTTTTCAAATTCGTGATACAGTTTTAATGTTTGAGGACTGTTTGAATTGTTGATTCGTAGTTGAACGTGTGATTTCGTGCTATTCAAATCTGAGTCATAATCTCTTGTTTGGACAATATTTTCCTGTGATCATGTGTTTAAATTGTGAATCGATTATCATGATCATGTCCCGAGAGTAATCCCTCTCTTGTCTGGTGGAAATTTAGGATCAGTTCTCAGGAATTTGTGTTCATTGCAATGATTTGAGGTTTAGACAGTTGTTGAAGGTTGTTTAATCCTGATTTGTACTCAGCTTCTCAAAACTGTTGATTGTAGGTCTCATGCCTCAATTTTTCAGTCTGAAATTCTTATTTGGGGTCCAACAACTGGCATATAGTGTATTTGGCTGTCCAAGTATATTGTATGTTCAAAAGGTTTTTATAACTGAATTCATGCTTATGTTAATTTGCATCAGGCTCATCCTGAGGTTATTAACGTAGGTACAGGTCCTTAGGCAGTGCTCATCTCTCTTAAGGACTGATTTTTGAGGTGGAGATTTAGCTCCTTGCTGAGAGAGCTAAATCTCACTTTTGTTCAACAACTTGTTTAGCTGAGAATCTGATTTTTTT